CGTCCCCTCCCGGCGCACCCCCAGCTCCCAGGCTTCCGGGCGTACTATGCACGCCCGGGTCGCGGGGAGGCGGTGCGGCCGTCACTCACCTGGGAGCCGGGGGCCGGGAGCCAGGAGGCGCAGCTCCGCCAGGGAAGGCCCCGGCGGCCGCCGCCGCTCAGCTTCCCAACAGCCGTTCGTGCGCCTGCGGGACGACCATCGCCGAGACGCCGTCATTTCCGTCATTCAAACCGCCCGCCAATGGCGGGGCCGAACCGCGGGAACCCGCCTGCTCCCGCCTCCCCCGGGGGCCGCCGGGACGGCCGCGCACGCGCATGCGCACTCGCACTCGCACGGGGACGCGCCGGCCCCCAAGTGGATCTGTCTGGTTTCTCACTGAAGTTTCACTTTCTCTCGCTCAACATGCACTTTTCACACGTTAGGAGACAGAGGTCCCGAGTGGGGAAGATGTTTGTCCAGAGCCGCGAGGGCGGCGGTCGGGCCTGAAGATGCCTTGGGATTTGCATCCTTTCGTGGTTTGGGACGAGGACGCTAGTCTGATGCTTCCTTTAAGGGCCTCCAGCTCGTACTCCAGGAAACCGTATCCGGAGACTCTGTGCCTCCCCAGGTCCGACACACCTAGAACATGTCAGGGATGTATCTGCTGCAAACAAGCTATAATCAGAAAGGGGAGGAGCGCAGTGTCGCATTTATTGTGCCAAGTGCAGTGTGCTACATGGAAGGGAGACCGGGTGTATGAATTATGGCCCTCACACTAGATTTTGTGGTCTGGTTAACCATGCATACGAGGAAACAAAGGATTAGAAAGTGGGGAGTGGGGAGAGGGAAGTGGCTGGCGTGATCCGTTCTGGCTTCCTCCTGTGGAAGGGGTCAGAGGGAGTGAAGATTGCAGGGGGGTGGGGGTGGGGGCACCAGCGAGGATGCTGCTGCAGGGAGTGAGAGCTGATGGCACTCACTGTGAATGGAGAGAGGCGGGTAGGTTTCAGAGACAAATAGGATGCCAAACATTAGGAACTGGTAGTCGCATAAGCATGGAAGTCAAAGGCGAAGGAGAAGTCAACCTTGACACCCAATTCCATATTTGACAACTGAGTGGATGGGGAGAACATCCTAACTGCAACATGGGAAGCAGAGCGGTTGTGAGGGAGGAGGTAAGCTCTCCATGTTTTCATTTTGTGGTGTGTATGGGATACTGAGACAAAGGAATACATTGCAGAAATACTTAGGAGGCAACATTAGCAGTACTAACAAACTTGCACGTGAGGTGGAGGGAAAAGGGAGAGCGAAGTGAACCTCACAGGCTACTTAGCTTGGGGAGCAATGTTGATGCTGGTGCCACCAACCAAGGACGAAATCAAATGGGAGTCCGTGAAGTGACAAGGTGAGGAGCTCAGCTCTGGACACCTTGAACTTCACATGCCCGTGGAGCATCCAGTGATGTGCGGTAAACAGGAGTGCAATGGTAGCCCACGTTTTCTTAGTAATACTTACCCTGCTACCTTCATAGGGTCGTTGTGAGACTCAAGGTGCACAAATCATATAGGAGCATTTTGTAAACTCTAAAGAGGTAGTTTAACAACTATTGTATTTTTTCTGTCTGGCACCTTTCTGCCCTCTTCTGGGACAGACCCAGCCCTCCAGACCACAGGGGAAGGCATGTAACTCAGACCGGGCAAATCGTAGTTCCCTATCTCCCTTGCTATTGGGATGACCCGGGGATGGGTACATAATCTAAAATGGGTCAATCAGAGCCTTCCATGTGAGTTTTTCTTACCTGAGCCATGAGGGACAGATATTTTCCTGTTTGGACTCATGTTAGGAGAGGAAACTGGAGCTTCCCCAAATGACCCCACCATGTGGGCTCCCATAAACTGGTCTGGGAGAAAGAGCCTGACATTCAGCAAGGAATACACACAGAGAATCCTGACAGGTGTTCAAGTCCCTGGGTCCAGCTGTCCCTGATGTCAGCCCATTCTGTAAGTCACCGATAAGAGCCATTACATCACTCCCTTTTACTTAAGCTGCTTTGAATGGGAGTTTCACTCTTTTCCCCCCCAAATTAAAAGAGGCTGTAGATTTATATTTAAATTCTCGCAAACAGCATCTGGGCATCTTGGGAAATACTGTAGAATAAAAGTTAAGATGTTGGACTTAGAGACCAACTGCCTGGATTTAGATTTCTGGCTTAGCAAGTCTGTGACCTTGAACTAGTCCCTGAACCTCCCCAGAAGTCATTTTTCCCATCTTTAAAGGGGATGTAGTAATAGCACTCAAAAGGTTATTGTGAGGTTTAGAGCTCTTAAGGCAATACCTGGCACAAAGTGTGCACTAAATGTTATCTTTTTTCACTTTTATTTTAATACATTCATTTTAGACTACAGGAGGCAAAAAACCCCAACAACTTTTCATTGTGTTTAATGGTGTTTTGAGTTTAATTTTTAATTAGGTCCTTTTGGCCTAGGGAGAAGTATGGATGTTAAGCTTCTAATGTTGTTATCACACTAGGAATGAATGTTAATAAATAGTGATTAAGAGGAAGAGTTGCCCCTAGGAAGTAATGGCTTTAGTGTGACTGGTCACCATGTAATGCTGCCTCATCTCAGAGTGCAACTGAAGCCAGTTAGGATTGGAGCCCTTTAAGATGTTTCTGTGATGCTAACAGTTTCACTGTTCTGAGTTTCCTTTCATCTTTATCCATATTGAATAGGAGAGACTGACATTAAAGTGTGTGTGGTGGGGGAGTGCGGGGCCTCATAATGAGTGACTGTGAGTTACATACGTAAAAAGACAGGATGCCTAAATGAAAAAGGGAGAAAAAGGAAATTATTTACCACCCAGAAGAGTGTGTAGCAGTTGGGGAGGATTGGGTGGGGTGGGGAAGAGTTGCAGCTGTAGTCAGAAGATGTGGATTTGAACATCTGCTTGATCAACAGTTAATCTCTCTGAGGCTCAGTCTCTATAAAGCAGGGATAAAAATACCCCAAATGTATTGAGCATTCTATGTGCCAGGAATTTGAATACCCATCCTATCTAATAGAGCAGTTGTAAAGACCAAACAGAAAAAGCTGTAAATATCCTACATAGAAGCATATAATCTATAATAATAAAAGAGTAATATGCAAATCGACTGAACAGCAAAACAGCCGTCGGACGACTTTCCAGATGACCATGCTATGACACGCACTGGCACCAGGCCAGCCAAGGCGGGTGCCATGCGATTGGTCAGGGGGCCTGCCATAGCCCCACGATCACCCCACAGAGGAAGGCCCAGACCACTGGCCAGCAGGGCGATCAATTGGCGGGGGGCTCTGTGATCCTCCCAAAGAGGAGGCCCAGGCCACCCTCTGCGGGCGATCGATTGGGAGGCTCCAGGGAACTGGGGGTGTGTGGTGGTGGATGCAGGCAGCGCCAGGCCAAGGCAGGTGTAGGCGGGGGGGCGGGGCCTTGAGGCAGCAGGGCCTCTAGTTAACTATAAAAGACCGTACTACAGTTTGGCCACCAGTACAGACTCTGGGCAGGTAACTTCTGCACTGCAGTTTCTTTGTTTCTGCCATTTAACCTGCTTTAGCTGATCCAGCTCTTATATACCATGAATCCGTACGATGGGGTCAGAGTTCTCATCATCCAAAATTATTTCCATTTACCTGTGAGCACAACACTGATCTACCAAAGTGTGGGTGAGGACCAGAGCATCCTCAGCACCTGGGAGCTGGTTAGAAATGCAGACTTTCTGGCCCCACCCAGAGCTGCTGAACCAGAGTCTGCATTTGAACGAGATCTGCAGGCAGTCCGTACTCACATTAAAGTTGGAGAAGAAGCTGTGCTCTGCACAAAGTCCCATGTGAGATAAACTTGGGACAGGGTAACAGAATAGAAAAGGGGAAGCACATGAACAAGGAACAGAGACAGACCATGCCACCATTAAAATGAGGATAGTGGTTCCTTTTACAAATGAAGACCTTGGCCACTTGTGGTGCAGGTATGAGGTGTGGTAGAAAGAGTATTCTGGATTTGGAGTTCTTGTCCTAGCTCTGCCACTTAATTTAGAAAACCAGTCACTCAATTTCCTCACCTATAAAATGGGGTTGTAATATCTATAATGTACACGAAGCATTAGCACAGAACAGAGAACCCACTGTTCTTTTCATCCCCCCTCACCCCCAATGGAGAGTGTCTAGAAGAGTAATAATACAATGAATTGGTGCTGTCTTTATGATGTATCATATTTCACTACAGAAATATGGGAGCTCTCACCCCCAAACCTGGGATGTATCTATGTACTGGGCATCTTAACAAGATGGTACTTACCCATTTATAAGCATTTTGGCTGCATTGTGTTCATTCATTGAATATTCATTGAGCATTTACTAAGTGCCAGTACTTTGGTTGAGAATACAGTGATTAACCAGATATTGAGGAGACAGCAGTGCACATGATAGACATGATCCTGACCTCAAAAAGGCAATGCAGGCATGTGAACGGCTCTTAAAAGACCAAATGGTAAGTGCAACAGCCTGTTCATTCCTTACATACCTGTGTACCCAACCACGCCCTGTTTGGGCCTAAAGTGGGGGCCCCACATAACTGTTAAACTGAAGGCTAGGATTAGCAGAAGGAAGGGGACAGTGACTACCAAGGAGACAATTGATGGTTCTGCTGTGCCAGAGATCCAGCACATATGGTGAGCACTTTATGTTTTCCAGAAAGAAGGGATTCCAGTAATAAATCTTTGGCACCGGGAAGAAGACAGGTGGGGATCTAAGATATTCTAGCAATTTCAAAGGGAGCAATGTCTTGTTAATGTAATGCACCGGGTATTATTGTGTATTGGTGGTGTAAAATATTTACTTAGATGATTGTAGATTGGTTAAACAGGCATATTGAAGGGAATTCTGCTCTTCTGGGATGCTGCCAAGCACAGCTGACAGTATAAATTTATGCTTGCTTCAGTGTCTGTATGTTTGGGCTTGTTTTCCCCCTCCGCATTCCAGAAAGTGGTGACATGGGACAAATCTTTCAGCCAAGCATTCCTCTGTAAGCATTCCTGCCCTGCTTAAACCTACAGGGATTCTCTTTTACATAATGCATCAACTCCAAATGTCTCTTAATAGCTTTCCAAATCCTCTAGACTATGTCATTAGAAAGAACAGAGCTCAGGGTTTGAGTTGATTGCTAATAGCTTTGAGCCTTCATTTCTTTTTTTTAAAAAA